ATTAAATTGATTGTGAGTAAGTCTGATTTATTATTTTTTTACCTATTTGAAATAGACTCACACAAGCAACAAATTCATGATTATCATAATTTTCTATTTATATTCCAAGAGTCACTGTTCAGGCCAAGGAGAGATTCAGTTTATCGTAAAGAAAAGATATTCCAAGAGTCATTTTTCACTCAGGCCAACGAGAGATTCAGTTTATTGAGAGAAGAAGAAGCTAGCATAATTTGAACGATTCGTGCATTTGAAGGAGATCATTAAGGACGAGATACTTGCAATAATTTATTGTAAGATTGCTGATTACTTAGGGAGCGGCCACGAGTAAATAGTATAGTCTACAAATAACAAGGATTTGGACCACTCATCATCAGAGAGACATAGTTTTGTTTTCTGCAGTTTTTCTTTCATTGATAACACAATTTTTACACGTAATTTAGAAAGGATATAAATATTTTGATTAGGAGAGTTAGAATAGTTTGGGATTTTGAGATTTCAATTAATATTGTTTGTACCATTAATTTTGATTGTTCACGTACGTAGAACAAAATTTTGAGAATTATTATATGAGATTTTGTTTATTGAAAAGTTTTGAGTGTGAATTATTTCATTATTTTTATTTCAATATATAGTGTTAGATCATATGTGTTTTTTATTATTCCGGTATTCTTTGGACCTTACCTTTCACATGTAATAGCATAGATATTGAAGCACGAATTTAACCCTGAGATAAAAGAATTAAAAATTCTGATAGAGTCATAATCATATCATTTAAATAATTTTAATTAATCAAAAATTAATTAGCCAATTATTGCATGGCGCACCAAGACTTTAAATATCACAATAATATATACATTTATAAAAAGTATCTATAGCGGCAAACACGGCGCATGAACTAAGTAGTAGCACATGAGACAGAACTGACGCTAGCCACACAGAAGATATATTCTTCAAGGGTCCAAGAGCGAGAGAGCATATCCCCTTCACATTGGCAGGGAAAAGTATCCTACCTGTCAAGAATGTCAAATATTTGGGAGTAATACTAGACACCAAACAGAGCTTCGGTGAACATATAATATATGCTGCGAAAAAAACAGATCAAAAAATAGGAGCGCTAATAAAGATTATGCTAAGAATAGAAGGTCCGAAGACAGATAGAAGGAGAATTGTCATGGAAGTGGTCCATTCTACCACACTATAAGCAGCATCAATATAGTAGCAGATAATGCGTGAAAAAAATACAAAAGAATTCTGAAGAAAGCTCAGAGAAATACTTAGCTGAGGATCGTTTGTGCATATAAGACGATTTCGACAGTTGCCTTGCAAGTGATAGCAGGATTGCCACCAATTCACCTAGTAGTAAGAGAAAGAGCAATCACGTACGGTATGAGTGAAAATGAACAAGCAAGCAATAGAAGGGTGGCCAACGCAAAATGACAAGAAGAGTGGGAAAATGAACATAGGGTTTAATGGAAAGAAAACTCCGGACTTGAGAGACCAACTACTTCTTCACACAGTTATTTACGAGGCACGACTCTTTCAGAGTACATCTGGTAAGGATAGGAAAGTAAGAAGACGACAACCCTGTTAACTGCGAGGTTAACGACACAGGGGAAAACTGTGTATTCGGTTGCAAAAGGTTCACGAACAAGAGAACGGAGCTATTCGAAAGGGTGGATGAAGTTAGAGCGAATAACATAATAGAAGTGGAGAGAAGAAGAGAAAATGAGTAGAAATAAATCCTGAGTGCAATAACCTTATTTTTAAGGTGTCGTGCATTTCTGCATAGGCGTCCACCATACATCGTCTTGTCAGGTGAGATGTTAAATATTCAGGATTAAATAATTGTTTTTAACGGCATTGCAAAGCATTTCATGGCTGTGAATTCCTGTCCATTGTCGAATATTGCGCAGCCATGACATCCTTTTACGTCCCAGACCTCTCCTACCCTCTATGTTCACTTCTAGTATCAGTTGCTGAAAAGTGTATTTTTTATATAACTAAAAAGTTCCCTATCCTGTAAGCCCTCTCTTCTGAGTACCTCCTCATTTCTGACCCTGTCCGTTTATGATATTCTGAGCATTCGACGCAGGCACCACATTTCAAACACTTCAAGTTTGTTATTGGAACTGGCCTTTAACGTCCATGCTTCCATTCCGTACAGCAGAACAGGCCACACGTAACACTTAAGCATCTTGTATTGGAGGTTGAAGTCAAATTATTAGAGTCTGCCACTGGTTCTGCGAAGGCTTTTTCTATGTATAAATTGAACAGCATTGGAGACAGTATACAACCTTGCCTTACTCCTTTTTTAATGCAAGTTAATGTATTTAAGTGCAATTTAGTGCAATAACTAGAAGAATAAAAAGGAAAGAGATCAAGGGAACGAGAGGAGACATACATAAACGCAAAAGGAAAAAAACCAAAACAGAAGCAAGCTGCACATGCGTGTTAAGACGGTTTAAACAAGACTAACAAGACTCGAAAATGACATCATTGTTTGCGTATCGACAAGACTAAATAAACGACAAGAATATTATGAATAATTAGGGCGATACACTTTTATTTAAAATGTCTTAGGCTATAAAATAAACATACTCAAAAAAAGTTACCTTTTCCCTTTCGCGACCCCCTTAGCTCTTTAACGCGATATCCCAGGGATTTGCGGCCCACACTTTAGTAATTACTGCTCTACACATTCTTTGGATATGTAAACGATAGAATGTACACAATCTAAAAAGGATAGTTACTTACCTTTTTGAATTTTTGTATTCCTCAAATTTTAATTTGGCACTATTCAAACAATCCTTATCGCCTAGAGAACATTTCCAATACAATATCAAATGTTGCTTCATAATATCTACGTGTTTGGAGCTTTTTATGTCAGTAACAGATGGAAAAGCTGCATTAATTAGTGTTAAAAGTTTTCTCTAAAATATAACGAAAGAATAAACTATTTTGAAATAAAAGTTTTTAGTAATTTCATTATTCTATAGAACCGATCAGAATTTTTTGCTTGATATGTTTCATTAAAAGAGCATTGTTAATAGAATAGCAATATTGCGAAATTGTACAGCCATCCAAATTGGATTTTAAGCTGAAATTTCTGGTTAGAGAAAAATTAGGTACTATCAACTACTGTTTTGCAATGTCTTCAACCCCCTTAAATTTTTCTTATTGCCCTGGAGTAATATCTTAAACCTAAAAGAGAAGTTAAGACTACTTAAATAATAATCCTTTACCTTTAGTAGCACCTTTGTTTTGTCGTTTACGTGTTTTAGTAAGTATGACATTTTTCTTAAAGCTGAGACCCAAGGATAATACTCAGTTTCATACTTAAGATAATCCAGTAATTCAAAAGCCTTATTATAATCGACTTTGTCAGCTCTAGCTAGAGAAAATATGTCGTCGATGAGTTGTGCTCTATTTAAGACAGGTATTTTGTTTCTATCGTGTCCATGTAAGGTATTAATTATTCTAGTCCACAAAACGTCATCGTAATTAACCCTATAGTAACCTATTAAATAAAATGTTTATACATTGTTAATTAATTTCATTACATTGGCTATAACACAGAATAATAAACAATCAGAATGCCCACTCTGCTTGTCAAGATAAGTACGCGCATCTCGTTCGCGCAGACGAAATCAGTCATGTTTTAATCGGAACCAGTGCTATTCATTGAAATTTTATCTGGTGTGCATAGAAAAACTAACCCGGTTTAATTTATTTACAGCAACCATAGACATAAAATGCACTATTGTATTCGTACTTTTAGTTAAACAATAGATTATAGTTATTTATTGTACAAGACGATAAAATTATACTTCATCTTTGAGAGCGTTTTTTAGCGTCGAGACGCTAATTATGCTCGAGAAGATAATGCGTTTTTATCGTCGTGTGCAATACAACACTTTTTTCCATAGCAAGACTTGAAGTTCAGGTGAAAAATAGAATTTCAAAGAAAATTGTAATTTTTGGCACAAAAATCGCAATTGTGTTGCTTCGTTGCTAGGGATATGAATTACTCTGTCAACAAATGTCAAACAAATGTTACAGAAAATCAATCCAGTACTTCGAATCAAGTGTTTAAGCAAACAAGTACAAGTTGTGATGCTCCAAAAATATATATTTCTAATAATGTTAATTGTAAAATTTCAGTTGTTTTTAATCCCTAATGTGTTTGAATTTGTAAATTTTATTGAATAAAAAAAAAGTTAAAACATTTTATCTACTCTTGCTGTTAAAGTGTCACTTTATCTACCCTTGCGGTTAAAGTGATACTTTATCAACTCAAAACAGTTATAGCAACACTTAAACATTAGCTATGGAAAAAAATTATTTTAAATTTACTAAATTATTAATCTCTAAAAATTTAAATTACAGTTCTGTCGTAGCTTGTCACAAATTTCTCAAATTACAGTTCTGTCGTAGCTTGTCACAAATTTCTCAATCCGAGTTGTATCCGAGTCTATGTTTCCGTTTAAAATATGGCGATCGCGTGCTGACACACTTCAAAGGCGGTAACTGAGAGTGGACACTTTGATATTTATTTATTCTGTGGCTATGAATAGAAGTGATATAATAGCTTTTATGTCATGAATTCAATGGAGATGTTGCTCATACTGCTAGCTGATCGCTGCTAGAGCTTGTTTCGAGCTATGCCGATACCTTCTACCTTTATTTCATTATTAATTTGCATTAACCTTTTTCTTGTTGTTTAAAACATTATAAAACGTTTGGTATTCCTTTCCTTGGATAACTTAGCTTCCTTAATGGATATGTTAGTTGTTACTCTGGAAACCTCAGAGTCTTCTAACATTATTGCCACAAATTGGTCGCATTGCACCTGTAGTGATCTTTTCTTAAATTAATATGCTCCTTTTTTAACTTGGCTGCACCGTACTGAAGACGACAACTAGCCAGAAATACGTATATACGGTTGCCTTCCATCTTATACACATTTTTTATTATATTTTCTTTCCTTTGTTACGAGCTATGCCGATACCTTCTCCCTTTTTTACTATTATATATATATATATATATATATATATATATATATATATATATATATAATATATTATATTATATATTTAATATAAAATTAATGTTTCTTGGGTTTAGGTTCAATAAAGATATGTTACATGTGGAACTAGATTTTATTTTCCATTGCAATCAATCAACGTTTCGGCAGGAAACCCTTGCCTTTGTCAAGATTCTAAAATGTGTATATATATAAGGACAAACAGATATTGTAAAATATGTATAAATATATATGACTTACCAAAACGTAAAACGTGACACAGACATTAACGAACTGACATATAAAAGTTGATATCTGATATCTCATTGTTTACTGTCATAAGTATATAATTATTTTTATATGGGCGTATCGTTGATGTTTTCGAAAAAGGTAAGGTGGAGATATGTTATGACTTTAAGAGCTTTTTATGATGTTATATTATTGTTGTTTAAATCAGATTAAAATATATTTTATTTAGGTTTTGTGTATCTCTTTTGTCATTTATTGCGTTGGTGTTTCTTTTTATTTCTATTGATTCGTATATCTCCCTCTTCTTTTTGTTTTTTTCTGTTTTTAAAATTTTGATGTTTTCAAAGTCAAATTTATGCTTCTTCCCGCTTTCATGTTTTGTGAGCGCAGTGACGTTGTTCTTGTCGTATTTGTGAGAACGAATTCTGGATTGCAGCAGTTGACTAGTTTGACCGATATAGACACCTTCACAGTTTGTACATGGTATCTCGTAAACAACATGTGATTTTTTAAGTTTTGGAGTTTGTGTTTTTAGTTTTGTGAAGTATTTATTTAAGAGGTTGTTGCCTTTGTGGGATACTGTTATATTATGTTTGGCTAAAAGATTTAAGATATCGTGAAGACCATGTTTCTTTTGTAAACCACATGGTTTTAACTGTATTGTTAATGCGATGTAAGGTGATATCCAGAAAGTTTATTTTATTATTTTGTTCAATTTCTATAGTGAACTTTAATTTTGGATGGTAACTGTTGAAAATATCTAAGATTTCGGTTGTTTTATTTGTTGGAATAGCACAGACACAGTCATCGATATAGCGGTAGAAGAATGGTACATTGAAATCTAAACGACTCATGACAGATTCTTCTAAGTCTTCCAGAACCAGTTGGGCAATGACACTAGATATACTTGCACCCATTGCGCATCCATCCATTTGTTGGTATATTTCGTCCTTATATAATAATTATAAGTCTCGCTGATAAATCTATAAAACTAACAGATCCAGAATACAGACCAACTGCAATAAAAAAAGCAAAAAATGCCCTTCTAAAGAATGCATATCCCGAACATCTAATCGAAACTATTTTCAAATCAAGACTCAATAAATTTTATAACAATACAACTAACAACAAACCCAACAGTATCAAAACCTCTTATACAACTCTTCCATATATAAAAGGTTTATCCGAACAACTAACAAATCTTTTAGCCAAACATAATATAACAGTAGCCCACAAAGGCAACAACCTCTTAAATAAATACTTCACAAAACTAAAAACACAAACTCCCAAACTTAAAAAATCACATGTTGTTTACGAGATACAACAACGAGTACACATGTTTACGAGGTATAACAACGTCACTGCGCTCACAAAACATGAAAGCGGGAAGAAGCATAAATTTGACTTTGAAAACATCAAAATTTTAAAAACAGAAAAAAAACAAAAAGAAGAGGGAGATATACGAATCAATAGAAATAAAAAGAAACACCAACGCAATAAATGACAAAAGAGATACACAAAACCTAAATAAAATATATTTTAATCTGATTTAAACAACAATAATATAACATCATAAAAAGCTCTTAAAGTCATAACATATCTCCACCTTACCTTTTTCAAAAACATCAACGATACGCCCATATAAAAATAATTATATACTTATGACAGTAAACAATGAGATATCAGATATCAACTTTTATATGTCAGTTCGTTAATGTCTGTGTCACGTTTTACGTTTTGGTAAGTCATATATATATATATATATATATAATATATATATATATATATATATATATATATATATATATATATACATATTTTACAATATCTGTTTGTCCTTATATATACACATTTTAGAATCTTGACAAAGGCGAGTTGATTGATTGGAATGGAAAATAAAATCTAGTTCCACATGTAACATATCTTTATTGAACCTAAACCCAAGAAACATTAATTTTATATTAAATATAATACGGTTCAAGAAACTCAAAACTACAATATACATATATATATATATATATATATATATATATATATATATATATATATATACATAAATTGTACATTATGTCTAGATACCTGTTTGATTTAGATTTAAAATGATCCAATTGTCAAGGTCAATAGGAATTTTCATGTTGGAATTTGGGTTTAACCAACTAATTTCTTTACTACTCAAATCTTCATTTGGAGTTACATAGGATATGGGTATATTCCAAACTGTAGCAGATTTTTGATCATCTTTTATTAAAAAGAACGGCTCCTGAAATATAAACAAAAAATTTTAGAGATGTTACTATGTCAGAGCTTTTTATAATCCAAGGACCAAATCTGATTCCTTTCTAATGTATTGTTGGTTTTTTCTTTGAGTTGAACTTTTTATATCCAGTTATCTTTATAGCAAATAAATCTTATTATATAACTTAGTTTTAATAATCAAAATGTCAATTTAACAAGCTAAGCTAGAAATAGAATATATAAGGGCTATGTTTTTGTTTTAAACGCATTTTGCCTTTTGGTTATTTACTAGTGTCTACGTATATTGGACTTCATTTTAAATCCAAGTTCTAAATAAAAATCTCAGCAATTTTCAGTAAATTAAGTAACACATCAAAAATGTCTGAGGAACACAAAGTGTTATACCATTATAATTCTTGATTAGTCAGCAATGAATTAATCTTAATTTTAGTGAAATATGATTTTTTTATGATGAATTAATCAAGCAAAAGTTAAGAAGTTCACTAACTTAATGGAAATTTAAAACCTAAATCGGCAGCTGGATCTGCTGTATTTTCTGCGGCAGCATTAATTACAGCTTGATACCGCCTTGGAATGCTTAAAATTAAATTATTAATTTCGTTTTGAGACCATAGGATCCATTTTTGTGTAAAAAGATCCTGAAGACCTTGTCTTGTATGAACATTGTGCTGATGAGTAAAAGTGACATATCCTTATTATAAACCCAATCTCTTACTTCAAATCTTAAATATGTTGCCTATGTGAGTCCATTTCAAATAGGTAAAAAGAAATAAGGATGAGACTTACTCACAATCAATTTACTCTATTACCAATGACCGTGGACGTCTGGCGTGCACGACAGTTTCAATAATCTATTCCTCAAAGTTTGGTCATATATAGTAATGATGTGGGTATTTTCTAAGGCCCCGTAGAATTCACGTACAGTGCACATGTGCACATTTCGACAAGTTAATTCCACCACATACCGATTCTGTCGAGGAGTAGATGCTCGTTGAGGACCTCCATGTGTTTCTCACATTACCAAATTGTTCACATCGATGTCACAATGGCGAAATCAAACTCCGAGATATATCAAAATGACGTGCAACATCAGCTTGTGAAATCAGATTCACAGCACTAACCATGTTACCATTGGACAAATGTGTTAAATAAATACGCTTCATGACTATCGTTGCGATTAATAATCTTGTCTAAGTTAAATACACACTATCTTTAAAATTTGTAGCACTTTTTTTTATAATTTGAAGTAATTCATAGTAGGTATGACTTTGAGGCACTGTCACTTTTGTCTTAACAGTGCAATTGGCAGATTGATACCTTAATTTGTATAGAACAAGTTTTTAAGTCGAATGGTATATATTAACAAAAAAGTTTTTATTCAAAACAGTGGAATAATAGTAGTGTTTCATATATAGTTATGAAATCGTACTTAAACCAACGGTAGAGACGAAACATAACGTATCTAGCCAATCTAGGGCTATGAAAAGAGTCCGCGATCGTCCTCTACATTTTTATTTAACAACTTAATAGACTCACTTATTTATGAGTGACTAATTTCTACAACTACAACTACGTTGGTCTGCAGGCTAAATTATGTGAGGGTAGCCAGATATGGCGAAAATTTTACTGAGGGATTGCCAGTATAAGCAATTCTCCGTTTACTGGCCAACAGCTTTGGGTAGAGGAGCTAGTAAATGGTAGGGCACCCCTTTGTTCTAGAGTTGGGAAACTGTGGAAAACTGGCTTCAAAGGCAGAATAACCGTGAAAGCGGTCAACGGCATAGAGATGAGAAAGAAAGATTGGGACAAGTCACCTCATTAAATATCTGGATTGGATAAGTGATAGTAGAATCAAATGGCCATGCTTGCAAGGAAATTCAATTCCGAAGGAAACTCCTCAATCGGATCTCCGGGAGGAGTACAAGTATAACAAAAAGATTAAAATGCAAAGAAGACATCAGAATAGGCACATGGAACGTGAAAACCATGGCACAGGAAGGTAACATCGATAATGCAATACAAAAAATAGCATACATAAAATTAAATATTCTGGGAATAAGCGAAATACGTTGGCAAGGTTCAGGAACCGCAAACATCGATGAATACCGAGTTTACTATTCTGGAACAGATAACGGTAAACATGAATTGCTGTGGGCATTATATTGACAAAAGACGTGGCAAAATCTGTTGACAACTTCGTCTCAATCTCAACAAGAGTAATGGACATACAAGTAAAAGCAAGACCAATCGACATCAATATGATTCAAATGTGTGCACCCACAATAGAAGGAGCAGAAAAAGAGATAGAACAACTATACCATAGCATTAATTAAGTCGTGAAAAGGTTGGAAAAGCAAGATCTAACAATTGTCATGGGTGATTTTAACGCCAAAGTTGGGGCCAGCAAAACATCATCTGCTGTTGGACCATTTGGTCTGGGAAACCGGAACGATCAGGGAAATACATAAGAGATTTTTGCGAAAGCAAATCAATGAGTAATAATAAACACCTGGTTTGAGCTACACCCAAGGAAACTGTACATCTGGAAGTCTTCACAGTATCCTGTGGGAAGGATTGTAACAAATCAGATTGATTACATGCAAGTAAATAAGATGTATAGAAACCGCTGTACATCTGTCAAAAAATACCCTTAAGCAGATATAAATTCTGATCACGTAGAAGTTGTAGATAATTTCAAAGTCAGAATGAAGAAGGTAACAAATAAGTCGATGAAGAAGTATGATGTTATAAAACTGAAAGATCCTAATGTGAGACTGAAGGTGAGTGAAAACCTCAATATAAATGTGCTAAAATACAGAAATGCAGAAACTATAGAGGAACCCCTGACCACCATGCAAGAAACAGTGAGAAAAATAAAAGAACAACAACTGAAGAAAGATACAGAAAACGGAAATCCTGGATGACTGATGAAATACTTGAACTTATGGATCAGAGAAAAAAAACTAAGAAAATATCCAAGAAAATAAGAGAATACATACTATCGTCAGAAAAAATATAAGAGAAGCCAAAGAGAAAGAAAAAACAGAACAATGTCAAGAAATAGAGGAGTATCAGAGTCGATATGACAACTTCAATGTTCATTGAAAGGTCAAGAAAATAGCTGGAAAGTTCCGAAAACGCAACAACGGAAAATTAACAGATAATGAAGGCAATCTTGCCATAACCAAAGAAGATAAAAAGAGTGTATAAGAAGAATACTTGGAGAAACTTTTCCATGACCTTAGAACAAAACAAGAGCCCACCATTGAAGAAAATTTAGGTCCCGAAATCCTATCAGAAGAAATAACGGTAGCCGTCAGACAAATAAACGATAAAAAGGCACTCAGTTTGGATTTGTGAACGCCATTGGTACGAAGAAAGCTTTGTCTAGGGTGCAGGTATTGTTTCAGAAATGTAGAGATGTCAGCTGTGGTGTTTTTGCATGCCTGATTGACTACAAGAAGGCTTTCTAGAGTCAGGCATGAACAAATGATGGAAGTACTGAAGAGGACAGGGATTGACGGAAGAGACTTAAAAATAATAACTAACATATATTGGAATCAATCAGCGGTGCTCCGAATAGATGAAGACAGATCAGGTCAACATCTTAAAGGAAGTGAGACAGAGGTGCATAATTTCACCACTGATATTCAATCTGTACTCGGAGCACATTTTTGAAAAGGCAGGTGATACAATAGTGTTTTCCAATACCACAGAAGGGCTGCAAAACTGAATGAACAAAATAAAGGAAATAAGTTTAAGATAACTAAAGAAAGGTAATAAGAAATAAGAATATGTGGACTGGATATAAACACCAGCAAAACCAAGCTAATGATCATCAGCAAGAAACACATACCTAGAGCAAATCTGTATGTGAACCAAATGAGATTTGAACGTGTCTCTCAGTATAAATACTTGGGAAATGTAATCAATGAGTCGTGGGACAACACTCATGAGATTAAATGTCTCATCGGAAAGGCAAAAATGCACGCTTGACTAAGAAGAAGAATTTCTACACTTAGTGTCAATATGACTAAGTGTCGACAGAGTTAGAAATGAGGAGGTCCTTAGACGGCTGAACCAAACAACACAACTGGTCAATATAATAAAGAAACGCAAGCTGGAATACTTCGGTCATATTATGAGACACCCTGAAAAATATGATCTTTTACATCTGATCATTCAGGGAAAGATCCAAGGTAATCGTGGTCCTGGTAGAAGAAGAACATCATGGCTGAAAAATCTAAGGCAATGGTATGGAAAATCAACTACATCGTTATTTAGAGCTGCTGTCAATAAAGTCACGATAGCGAATATGGTAGCCAACATGATATCCAACGATCGATAACGGTCATAGAACTAGAAGAAGAAGAAGTGTCAATATACGTATTCGGTCGTATTAACTGATCTTTCAATTTTAAGACATGCATTTCTCACACATTCGATAACAGGTTGAACTTTTCATAACTTATTTTTAGTCTGATCATCTGGTGGCTTCTCTGTATCAACACAGTGAAGACACGTTCTAAGCAAAGTAAAAGGATCCCTGTGCAAAACATCAGCAACACTCTGTAATCTTAATCCCATTTTCCAATACCAGTGCAAACGTGGATAAGGTATACATCCAAAAACAAGATGAGCACCATAGAGTTTCATTATTTCAGATGGTGTTGTATTAAGTTCTGTGCCTTTCTTCGACAAACAATACATATTCGTATACGTGACACTGAACTTAGTATCATGAACACCATGTTTAAGCATCATCCGCGAAGACTATCAACTTGGACTTCACCAAGTTACATTGATACTGAAACCATACACATCCAAAGAGGAGATAGACAAGTTGTATACTATCACCATTATTATTTAACTTGTACTCAGAGGACATCTTTACACATGCTCTAGATAATGCACAAGAAGCAATAAAAGTCAATGGAAAAATCGTGAACAATATCAGGTATGCCGATGATACACTCTGATTGCTGGCAGTCAAGAAGAACTACAAATTCTGTTAACCAAAGTAGTGCGAAAAGGAGAACTTAAAGGTAAAGGTAAAAAAACCAAAACAATGGTAATTTCAAAAAAAGATACACTATAATAGTTATAAACATACTAGTCAATAACAATCTAGTTGAACAAGTAAAAAGTTTAAGTATCTAGGCTGTTGAATAGATGACCCCTTAGATCAAGAACAAGAGGTTAAATGTAGAATAGAACAGGCAAGAAACACCTTCTTAAAGATGCGACAGTTACTCACTACCCGTAATCTTGATTTGTCCCTACGATACCGCATGATAAAGTGTTATGTATATAGTGTACTATTACACGGCGTGGAAGCTTGGACGTTAACAGTCAGCTCGTTACGACGTATGCTGAAAATTTCATGGACCGACCGCGTTAGAAATGAAGAAGTTTTATGGCGTATGAATAGAGAACGTGAACTCACAGAAATTGCCAAGAAGCGTAAAACGTCTTATCTTGGACACCTATTTAGACACGAAAGGTATAACACTTCTTCAGCTTATTATAGAAGGGAAAATAGAAGGCAGACGCGGCCCGGGTAGACGACAAATGACCTGGCTGCGCAACATCAAAGATTGGACAGGATTAGACTTTTAAAGTTTAATAAGGAAAACCCAAAATAGGGAAGACTTTACAGAGGTCATCGCCAACCTTCGCTAAGAAGACGGCACCCACAGAAGTAGAAGACGGACCATTTTTCTTTCATCTGGTTAATAATAGTGCCCTTATAATGATTCAATGGATATTTATTTCGATTAATGTTTTGCTGTCTCTCGTGTTATACGATATGATGTTCGTTTTTATACTCTCACTCCTCATTTTTTTTCCATTGTTGACAGAACAAAATACGCACGAAATAAATAAGGTAGTTTAAACTCAAATAAAAATTTTATAAATAAATAAAATTGTACTAACCTGAGACAAACTAACTGATTTTCCGTCATTAGACAAAGTTGCAGTAACCAAGGGATATCCTGGCATATATAACCATTTTTCCATTTTATTTCCCAACTCCATAGCTTCCAGTAAATTAGTGGGATTCGTGCAATTAAATTTACTAAAATATACAATTGTATAATAATACAAGAATATTATTTACAAAAATATCCACAACTGTATTAAAAACAGTGCTGTTAAATGAGCATAATTATGAGCAGGTTGCATAATTACTTCTTTCTCTTCACTTAACATGTTATGTTATTAGTAAACAAGAAGAAGCACTACGGAGCAGAGGACGCCCATCAACTAGATAGACTGACGACCTGAAGCATGTTACCAGTAACTGGATGTAAGCCGCACAAGACAGGGCAGGTGGAAAGAACTAAAGAAGACCTATTTGCAGCAGGGACACGTACAAGTTGATGATGATGATGATGAATGTAAGGTTAAAAATATATATGTGAATGAGTTTTAACATGCTAATTTACTGTGTTATATGTAATGTTTTGCTAGAAGTTTTCTATCGCAAATCGACATCTTCGTTTTATACAAAGCAGTTTACTAAAATTTTAAAAACATGATTGAGGATACGTATTGTTCACAACTTGAATCTTGTTATCTTTAGGTTTACTAATGCACTTATACAAGTAACATTTATCTCACCGGCAAATATCAGACTAAATTGTAAACTGGTATTTTTATAGAAGCAATTTATTTACACATGCATAATAGGGAGTAAGATAGGTAGTAGATGGTATATAACACAACGGAATCTTTATGTATTTATAAATACACAAGATTAAAAAAAGAAACATATGCAACATTTTATGAATTTGTCCATAAAATGCAAAAAATTCTGAAAAATCTATTCATTTTGCATTTTTTTTTGCGCTTTTTACTAATAAAAAAATCTAATTAAAATAGCGTTAACGTGCTCTTCTTCTCTTGTTCTTCTTTATTTATTAGTTTCCTGAGTTCATCATTGTTAACCCCCTTACTATGTTTCTTGTTGGTTCGGTTTTGTACCCTATTTATTCATTTTTTTATTTGATTTTATCTGATACAGCACGTTAAGTTTTAAATTAGATATACTCCCTATAAATGGCAACACTGCGCACTCTGTTTATACGCCCGCAAAAAACTTCAAATAATAAAATGGTTTTATGGTGGTATTATTCCAGGGGGGGTTAACTTGAATAGTCTTGTCAACGTCAACGACAACGTTTTTAGTAATATTTTCTAGCACAGATGTCACTCCAGGTAATGATTGATGGTGACCTGTAATTTTTAAAAAACACAAACAGTGTCATCTGTCATCCGCATGTCATCCAACGGATTGTTGAATATTCAAATCTCGTTTTTATTGTGATAAATGCGATTCTTGTCTTATAATCTGTGTTGTGATCTAAATCCAAAGACGATATAATATATGTGTCATCCTATGCAAATATAAATGTATGTATAATTTTTCTTCAATAACCTATGTATATTCTTTTCAATAATGAAATTGTGTATGTTAATAATGAGTCAGATAAATTTTGATATTTTCACGTTTGTATTACTATAGTTAAAATTGTTATTTTTCTTTGGACATTGTTATTTGTATTTTATGTTTTTATATCTCCACCACCACCATAAATAAAACACTTGTACTATATAGAACATTTTTATTTTTTTCCTAGCTTGAGTGAGATTCAACCTTATTATATCTTTCTTCTGTCATATGAACTATGAACTTCACATTTGCCAAATAAAATTTTTATGATTTATTTACTCATTGTTAAAATTATGTTATGCAAATGTGTGAAATGAATTACAGCAATAATGGTTTGTTTTATAACCATTAAATTTTAATTCCTATAATTTAATAGGACTTGTTCAAGATGGTGGTAAAAATAAAATTCTTTGCATCCGAACGTTTCGGTTTATTTCATTTCTAAACAATTTTTAACGAATTTAACTTCAAACACGACCAACACACTTGTATTGTTAAAAATGTGATAGATTGAAACGTTCAGACGGATATATTTTTATTTTTACAATTTATCTTGACAGTCTCCCTTTAAATTATAAAAAATTCCTACAATAATTTTGAATTTCCCGCGTCATATAAATTTGAATTTCCCGCTTCTCATTAACAGATTTCTGTCTTCTTTTTTTTGGCCTTCGTTAAGGTAAGTTACAAAGTTATTAGCATTTAGTGTAGAATTCTACCGTAGAGGGCGCTGTAAATCGTATCGGCAATTTTTAACATTAAGGTTGGCGATCTTCTTGTCTTATAATCTGTGTATTATCCACAGACCACTAATAACTAGACGTTTCACGTAGGTAGCTCAAGGTCAAACCAAACTTAATGTCATTTGTAGTACCGATACAAATCTTCAGATGTCACTTTACTCTGTCTTTACCTTTACTCTACAGTTTAGGTTTAGAACACAACTAAGAATTATAATTGTCAATCGCCAATTGTCATATTAGCGTCTATATTTTGATTTTGTTAAATTGTAATTTACAAATCCCCTACCTCAGTGATCTGTGTTTTAAATGTTCCTGGCGGTGTTCAAACAGTATTTTGCAGATTAATAATAATTAGTTAAATATGGTTCTTCACAATAAATGTTGTATCCTACAATGTACCAATTCGTCATTAATTAGACATGCCTTTCCAAATCCTGATAAAGACATTACACGATTTAGGAAGTGGCTTAGTGTTATAAATAATCCTAATTTAGATATGATGAATGCTAGTACAGTTTTTAAAACAAAACGAGTCTGCCACAGACACTTTGAAGATAAGTTTGTTTCTTCATGGAGTCATAAATTGTATAAAAATGCAATTCCTAGCTTACATTTGTATGATGAGTCCAATAAATATTTGATATTAGAGAATAAATAACTGATTGATGATCGATTTTAGATTCTTCTTCTAATGTACATCCCAGAAGTATTTCAATGTTGAGTGGGGAAACAAATGTAACAGAAAGTGAGTAACCCTAATATGTAATTAACAAACATTATTTTACCTGAAGTGAATCATGGTATAAATTATTAAATTAACTTCTTCTTTCCTTGAGTTCCGTAAAAGAACAAAGTTCTATCTATCTGAAAGATCATATTATTCAGTAGAAGAGTTTCTTAACGAATAGTGTTATGTACAAGTAACTAAACTATTTGTATAAATATATATTTCAGTATCACATGCAGAAACTTAAATGTATTAGTTCGTAAGGATTTATTATGCACTTTATTTAAATTTTGGAATACATTGTGTATTTTATTATCTTTTATTTTGTGATATTGACGATTTATGTAATTTCAGTAAATTTTAAATTGCTATTTTTCTGACTTTTTGTAAGCTTTGTCCATAAAATTGTACAATTTTCAGTGGTAATAGCATATTTTTATTCTATTCTAAATTACAAAGTTGTTTTACAAGTGTTAAATAAATAAATAAATTACATTTTGTTTTATTTTTTCCTAAATGGTATTGTGTATATTTGAATTTAAAAATGTTAACTGCATTTTTTTTTCAAATATAATAAATTATATTTAAATATTTTAAGCTTTATTTAAATTTTCCCACCAAAATTAAAATTTGAAATTCCCGCGTAATTTCTCGCTTGAATTAGTTCCGATACAAATTTTATGGAGCTGAATTTCATACCCAACTAAAGCATTGTCGTTTGGAGCAGATCTGCCCACACCAAACAAGTTGATACTGCGCTAAATGAGACATGCAGGATAGTAACGGGGTGCATGAAACCAACGCCACTTTCAAATCTATATAGAGCAGCGAGTTTTGCAGAACCCTCAACACGCAGATGCGCTGCAGAACACATAGAGAAAATTAAACAGATCGCGGAAGATCGGCATGCCTATACAAAGCTCGAACACCACGAAAGCGACTAAAATCTAGGAAAAGCTTCCTTGGAACAGTGCAGGATGAACCGCCTGAGTATTTTCCACTTCCTTAGGTTCAATGGACCGGCCAGACCCTAGACTTTTAAAACATGGAAAACCTTGAATAGGATAAGAACGGGGGTTGCTACAGTAAAATCAAACATGGCAAAATGGGGAAAAATAGACCAAGATGATGTGAACTGTGACTGTGGAGAAACACAGAATATGGAACATCTTCTTACATGCAGAAACTGTCCTCATTGATGTACCCTTGAAGATTTGTGGCTCGCCAACTATGATGGAACCGACGTAGCCCATACTGGGCCGAAATTTTATGAATGGTATGTCGGGACACGATAAAGTAAGTAAGCATTGTCGTGGAACATCTAGGAGGTAGGTGATCTGTGGTATTATCCGACAAGCGAGAGCTGGCGGATGAGCTGCGCGAAAATAGAAAAGGAATTATTCTACGAGAGATAGGAGAGGTACTTAATCGCGGGTATCATAAATGCGTAGTTGTCGTATCAAAAATTTAGTTGGAATCTGAAAATTACGTTAATAAATATGTTCCGTGGTTGTGTCATTGCTTGTGTGATAAACTTATTTACCACAAAAACAAAATAAAAATAATAATATTGAATAAAACGTAAAAAAAATTTGTTAATATTTATTTTCATAAAACGTAATTAATTCTCGAAGGAAAGGTATTTTTGTATGTTGTGTGGACTGATGCAACTTATGTGTCTTAATGATTACTAAACTAAACACAACACAGAACACACGTTCTTTGTTTATTTTTCTAAGCCAGACGGTAAACTCAAGTATTTTCGGCCTTTTATCTTGTGATGTTATTGCTTACAATATCATATTTCGTTTCCCATTTATGAAAAAAGCAACATATTCAAATGTATAATTACAGTGTCCAGCATATCATCATCATCAACTAGCCTCTAACGTCCACTGCTGAACATAGGCCTCTCGCATGCTCTTCCACTTAGTCCGATTTTGCGCCATCTGAATCCAATTTGTAGTCACTCTTTTTATGTCATCTGTCCATCTCGTTGGGGGTCGACCTCTATTTCTGTATGCTTGTATTCGGGGTCTCCATTCCAAAATTCTTTTTGTCCACCGGTCATCAACTGATCTTGCTACATGACCTGCCCAGTTCCACTTTAGTGTTGTTATCCTTTTAATAACGTCTGCTACTCCTGATCTTTT